GTGGAGATGGGGGTCTTACTACGTTGTCTAGGCTAGTATCAAACTCCTAGACTCAAGTGATCCTTCTACCTTGGCCTCTCAAATGGTTAGGATCACAGGTGTGAGCTACCACACACAGTCAAAACTAGTATTTTAAGTGGGAGTGCATGGTGGTGACACTTGACTCCTAGGATAATCTTACCACCATGATGAAGGCAGTTTAGGTTTCAAAGTCCCCAGAAATAATCTTAAGAACCCCTGGGGGTCCACGGACCACACTCTGAGACCTGCTGCTTTAAATACAAAAAAGTAGGGATTAAAAAATGAGCAAATGGGCTCCGTGCCTGTAGCTTAGTGGCTTGGGGGCCAGCCACATACATTGGGGCTGGTAGGTTCAAACCTGACCAAGGGCCTGCCAAATGACAACAACTACCACAAAAAAATAGCTGGGCACTGTGGCAGGTGCCTGTGATCCCAGATGCTTGGGAGGCTGAGGCAAGAGAATCACTTAACCCCAAGAGTTTGAGGTTGCTGTGAGCTGTGACGCCACAGCACTCTACTGAGGGCGACATAATGAGATTCTGTCTCAAAAAAAACAAAAAACAAAAAAACAAAAAAAACTCCCCAGCAAACAATGATTCTCCAAGGAAGATATACCAATGGCCAATGAGTGCAGGACGAGATGGCCAACACCACGAACACCAGGAGATGTGAATCAGAACTATAATAGCAGTTATAAAAAAACAGAAAACAGCACAAGTGCAAGAGCACGGAGACGCTGGGAACCTTGTGCACTGCTGTGGAAAACAACTTGGCAGCTCCTCAGAATCTCAAACACAGAGTTGCCACATGATCCATGGCTCCAGCTGGGTGCACCAAGAAGACAACTGCCCTCCCTGGTGGACTGTGGCCCAGAAGCCTGCTGATGGTGCCGGATGAAGTCGGCGTGGTCTATCCACCCAGCAGAAGATACATGGCCTTAAAAAGGAAGGACATTCTGACACAGGCTACAGCAGGAATATATCTCAAAGACATCTGACGACATCATGCTAGTGAAAGAAACCAAGTGCAGAAGGATAAATACTGTATGATTCCACTTATACATGAGGTGCCTAGAGCAGTCAGGACTCCTAAAGACAGAAAGTAGAACGGCAGGTGTGTGGGCAGAAATAAGGAGAAATTGTTCAGTGGGTTCAGAGTTTCAGTTTTCCAAGTTGAAAAAGTTCTGGAGATGGATGGTGATGGTAGTTACATAACAGTATGAATGTAGGCTGGGCGAAGAGGCTCACACCTGTAATCCCAGCACTCTGGGAGGTCAAGGGTGGTGGAATGCTCCATCTCAGAAGTTTGAGACCAGCCCAAGTAAGAGCGCAAACCCATCTCTAAAATTTAGCCAAGCATTGTGGCGGACACCTGTAGTCTCAGCTACTCAGTAGACTGAGGCAAGAGGATCACTTGAGCCCAAGAGTTTGAGTTTGCTGAAGCTGTGACGCCACAGCACTCTCAGAGAGTAACAAGGTGAGACTGTCTAAAAAAAAAAAAAGCAGTTAATAACACCAAACTGTATACTTAAAAATGGTATATGTATTTTTTTAAAAAGTGGGAGCAGAGACAGGGAGGTTTGGCCATAGAATGAAGTAGAATATCCCTTCACAAAATCAGAAACCCTAAGTAGAACAGAGTTTTAAAAAATGTTATTTATTCCTTTGTGGATAGAATTTTGTGTCTTGATGATCCAAAATAAGATATGTGAGAGTTATTTACAAATTGTGTTTCTAGCGCATTTTGTTGTCAATAAACATGAATATCAACATGTCTAATGGGAGACCAGAAGATTAATATTCAGTAACAACTTTTCACAGAAATAAAGCAACTAACTTTCGCAACAACGTATTCAGGCAGAGCAGAGAGGCTTGTACCTGCAGTCTCACCACTTTGGGAGGCCAAGGATTGCTGGCCTGCTTGAGGCCAAGAGTTTAAGACGACCCTAGGCAACACAGAGAGACTCTACAGAAAGTAAAAAAATTAGCTGGGTGGGCTGGTACACGCCTGTAGTCCCAGCTACTTGGGAGGCTGAGCCAGGAGCATGGTTTGAGCCTAGAAGTTCAAGTTTATAGTGAGATATAATTCTGCTGCTGCTCTCCAGCCTGGGAAACAAAGCAAAGCTCTGTTTCAAAAATACTTTTTTTCAAATTAAGATATAATTCACCTACCATAAAACACTCTCCATTTACTGTATATGATTCAGTAATTTTCAGTGTATTCATGAAATTATACAACCATCACCACTAATCCAGCTCCACAATATTCATTTTATCTTCCCCAAAAGGAAAGCCCTGTACTTAGCAGCTGTCACCCCTACCCCGCCTAGGCAGTGACTAATCTGCTTTTGTCTCTAAGGCTGTGCCTCTGCTAGACTCTTCCTATAGACCATACAGTATGTGGCCTTTTGTACCTGGCTTCTTTCACCCAGCACGTTTTCAGGTTCCTGCAGGTGCACCGATTAGAACTTCACTCCAGGCTGGGCCCATGGCTCATACCTATAATTCCTGCACTCTGGGAGGCTGAGGTGAGAGGATTGCCTGAAGTCAAGAGTATGAGAACAGACTGATCAAGTGTGAGACCCTGTCTCTACTAAAAATATAGAAAAACTAGCCAGGTGTGGTGGGCAGCTGTAGCCCCAGCTATATGGGAGTCTGGGGCAGGAGGATCACTTCAGCCCAGGAGTCTGACACTGCAGTGGGCTATGACACTCTAGCCTGCATGATGGAGAGTATGTTCTGAAACAACCAACAAATGAACTTCACTCCTTTTATGGCTGAATAATACTCCATTGTACAGACAGATACCTATCATCAGTTTTTGGACATTTGGGCTGTTTCCTTTTTCTGACCACTATGAATACTGCTGATGCCAACATTGCGCACAGGTTTTTTTATGGAGACACGTTTTCATTGCTCTTAGATGGACACCTGAGGTGGAATTACTGTGTCATACAGTAACATATCCTCAACCTCCTGAGGAACAGCAGACTGAAGTAGTTGCGTCATTTTGCACCCTCACCTGCTGCAGAGGGGACTGCTCACCAACATGATGAACTTCATTTTTTTTTTTTTTTTTGAGACAGAGTTTCATTATGTCGCCCTCGGTAGAGTGTTGTGGTGTCACAGCTCACAGCAACCTCAAACTCTTGGGCTTAAGTGATTCTCTTGACTCAGCCTCCCAAGTAGCTGGGACTATAGGCACCACCACAATGCCCAGCTATTTTTCTGTTGTAGTTGTCATTGTTGTTTAGCAGACCCAGCTGGTTTCGAACCATTTGAACCCAGCCCCAGTGTATGTGGCCAGTGCCCTAACCACTGAACTATGGATGCTGAGCCTTCATTCAGTTTATTTTTATTTTTTTTTTAGAGACAGAGCCTCACTGTCACTGCTGGTAGAGTGCCGTGGCATCACAGCTCATAACAACCTCCAGCTCTTGGGCTTAGGCGATTCTCTTGCCTCAGCCTCCCGAGTAGCTGGGACTACAGGTGCCTACCACAATGCCCAGCTATTTTTTTGTTGTTGCAGTTTGGCCAGGGCTGGGTTCAAACCCTCAGTATATGGGGTTGGCGCCCTACTCACTGAGCCACAGGCATGGCCCCTTCATTTTATTTTTAAAGTAACTTCTCTGTTGTTATTGGAGGGATTGTAAATAAACTCATTTCAATTTAACACCAAACTTATAAACTGCAGGTATGCAAAAATATTTACGTGCAATTTTTTTATAACCAAGGAAAAGCAGGAGACATGTGTTCTAAACCTATGGGTCATGACCCATAGTAACTGTATTAAAGGGCCGCGTATTTGGAAGGTTGAGAACCACTGGTCTAGAAAGTGGTGTGGCTGCACAATTTCTTAATTTGAGACTCAGCTATTTCCTTCGTACTGCATCACATCACCTTACAAATTACATACATGGTGAAGGCAGGGCACTGTCTAAAAATACTCCTGAAATGAGTCACTGATTGAGCCCAACTAGGCTGTAGAACACTGCCTTGCACCCCCGACTTTCTGACCTAGCCCTCCCACAGGGCCTCACTCCCTGACGCCCAAGCCTAGGGGCGCTGGCTTCCCCTCATGTCACTTCCACGTCCTGTCCTTGTCTGTCAATGCCCTTGCTCCATTTGTTCTGTGCTTCTGCTCTTGAGGTCTGGGTACCTCGTCAGCGGCGTGCGCCCCAAAACCCGGGCAGAGATCCTGGCATAGACAGCAACCATTCTACCTTCTGCTGTGGGGACTGCCAAGGTGGCTGCTGCTGACAGGCCAGTCATATCTGAATCGCCCTGCCCAGAGACAGAGAGCACTGTGCAGGGCAGGGTGTGGTCTGTGCTGATTTCAGATGACTGCAGATACACACGTGCCTGTGTGTGGAGCTTTCTCCGGTGCCTTAGTACAGACTTTTGTGAGATGGGTTGACATCATTTATTCCCATACCATTATGAAAAAGGTCTTTGGCTTCAGTTTTTCTCAAATATTGACACTTCAATCCCAAAGCTTTTAAAGAACTGTAACACTTTACCTCCTAAGATGCACTGCACGCTCTGCGTTCCCAGGGAGGGTTCTCCACGGCCGTCACAAGACCCTCCCCCAGGGGGGCCCCGTCACAGGTACACATGATTGAGCACGCAGACCGCACAGACCAAGAGCACATGCTCAGAGGGGTGAGTCTGACCCGGGGTCAGGGAGCCCCACAACACCAGGCTGCCTCTGGGTATGAGGGCAGGGTCACTCCCGCCAATTGCAGGGCAGAGCCCACCCTCTCCAAGAGAAGGGCCTCTACCCACTCATTCTTGCATACACGGCACCTCTTCAGCTGGCTCACGCGCCTCTAAGGAAGAAGTCCCGGACAGCTCTGACCCTCAAAGACCCCCCTTTCCTTCTGGCTGCACAGCCGTGTCCGGATCCAGGAGAAAGAAGTCTGGCCTCTGGTGCAGGGGACTTTAAGGTACTAGAGAGAGTGAACACAGTATATTTTGTACCTTTAACCTGGCCTCTGAATGGTATGGAATTGGATATTGGTGGAAGTAGAGTGGACAGTGGTGTCTCATCTGGAAAAGAAGTACAGGAAGCTCTTGTGAGCTTTAGACTGCACACACGGGTGGTCACTGAGCACAGTCATCTGAGGGCTCAGAGCACAGTTAGGAGAGAGAAAAACACCTTCCTACCTGTGCAAGGAAAATGCTGAATTATCAAGAATATGCCAAAACTATTGGACATTCTCATTTATTTCCAAATCTCCCAGTACTTTACAGGGTTACGCTGCATCTGAAAGCCGGTCAGCCCGAACTTTCAAACACAGTTGTGTTCAGCTGCCACTGCTGCTACAGCTACTCATTTGTCCCATCCGCTCTGCCTGAGCAGGAGCCTGGCTGTTCCCAGAGGCCTCCCCTGGCCTCTCAGAGATCCTTTCCAACCGAAGGGCACGCCACTGGTGCGTCTTGCATAAAGTAGTCACTTCCTCAGGAAAGGGGATTAGGTGCCTGAACACTCAGCCTTATGAAAAGGACCATGTGGATAATGACGGCTTTCGTCTACATCACAGGTGTGTTGCAAGTGGGGGCTAACACCCCAGGTGTGACAATGACCAGGCTGGCCTCTCCAAGGCCGTCATCAAAGTGACAAAAGGACCAAGAATAGTCCACTGTGTAATGCCAGCCCACCCACCAGTCTGGCCCAAGAACAGCCTCGAATAGCACAGGGCCCTGACAAGGGCAGACCGCCACCAGAGCCCTCAGAGAAGCCCAGGCCATAGACATGGCCCCTCAAAGGCCCCTCCCGTGGACAGTTACCTTTCATGAAGAATCGGCAGGTGGGACGAGGCCTCACCTTCCTGTCACTGGGGTCTTTTACTTCGCCTTCTTCCAGGTCATCATCCTGAAACAAAGGACAGTGTGTCAACAAAGGTGGGAAGGGTCCACCCATTGGATCTGTTGTCCCCAAACTATAAAGTGAAAAACTGGGCTTGGCGCCTGTGGCTCAAGTGGCTAAGGCGCCAGCCACATATACCTAAGGTAGCAAGTTCGAATCCAGCCTGGGCCCGCCAAACAACGACGGCTGCAACCAAAAAATAGCCGGGTGTTGTGGCAGGCGCCTCTAGTCCCAGCTACTTGGGAGGCTGAGGCAGGAGACTCATTTGAGCCCAGG